TTAATAATTTTTAAATATATATATATATATATATATATATACATATATATATATATACATATATTATTTGAATAATTAATAAATATTATAAAGGTGCCTGATGAAAACCTGATGGTCGAAACGTTGTACTAGTATCAATCATTTTTTTAGAGCAGTCACATATCAGTGTGCGGACATTTTGTTTGTTTCGTTTGAATTGACCTTATTTTTGTCCTGCACCTGAGCCTTCAGGTTTATGGGATGCGCACACCTTTTTTAAACTTTTCAGTAATTATAAACCTGAAAAAAGCCGGAAGCTGTAGCTAAAAAACTGACCTGATCTTGAACCCAATCTGAAACCCAGCAATTTCTCAGGTCCTGTTACGCTTTGAGCAGGGAGCAGACACTAATAATGGTATAATGAAAATGAAGAATTCCAGCGTAACTCATCTCTGTTTGCTTCTCAGCGACATACAACAAGCACACAAAAGTGGCAGTGAAGACTATGAAGCCTGGCAGTATGTCTGTGGAAGCTTTCCTCATGGAGGCCAACTTAATGAAATCCATCCAGCACGACAAACTGGTCCGTCTCAACGCTGTGGTCACCAAAGAGGAGCCCATATACATCATTACAGAGTTCATGGAGAAAGGTGTGTGTGACTCTAGACTCCACTGTGCAGAGCATGGCTTTATATTTCTGTTATTTATCTGTTTGTGTGCCTGTGTTTTACAGGCAGTTTACTGGACTTCATTAAAAGCGATGAAGGTGGACTAAAAATACATTATACACAAAATGTACATTATTGATATATGAATCACAATGACACTGTTATTCAATCACAACTTATTATTACAGTAATAAATAATTTGTTTTCATTAATTATAAAGGTGCCTGATGAAGACCTGATGGTAATATAATATAATATAATATAATATAATAATATTGTGTGTGTACACTATTAAAAAGTTTTGCTCATTTTTTAATAATTGTTAATAATTTTTAAATATATATATATATATATATATATATACATATATATATATATACATATATTATTTGAATAATTAATAAATATTATAAAGGTGCCTGATGAAAACCTGATGGTCGAAACGTTGTACTAGTATCAATCATTTTTTTAGAGCAGTCACATATCAGTGTGCGGACATTTTGTTTGTTTCGTTTGAATTGACCTTATTTTTGTCCTGCACCTGAGCCTTCAGGTTTATGGGATGCGCACACCTTTTTTAAACTTTTCAGTAATTATAAACCTGAAAAAAGCCGGAAGCTGTAGCTAAAAAACTGACCTGATCTTGAACCCAATCTGAAACCCAGCAATTTCTCAGGTCCTGTTACGCTTTGAGCAGGGAGCAGACACTAATAATGGTATAATGAAAATGAAGAATTCCAGCGTAACTCATCTCTGTTTGCTTCTCAGCGACATACAACAAGCACACAAAAGTGGCAGTGAAGACTATGAAGCCTGGCAGTATGTCTGTGGAAGCTTTCCTCATGGAGGCCAACTTAATGAAATCCATCCAGCACGACAAACTGGTCCGTCTCAACGCTGTGGTCACCAAAGAGGAGCCCATATACATCATTACAGAGTTCATGGAGAAAGGTGTGTGTGACTCTAGACTCCACTGTGCAGAGCATGGCTTTATATTTCTGTTATTTATCTGTTTGTGTGCCTGTGTTTTACAGGCAGTTTACTGGACTTCATTAAAAGCGATGAAGGGAATCGTGTCCAGTTGCCCAAACTGATTGACTTCTCAGCACAGGTGAGGCGATTTGAAGATCTCCTTTGTTCAGTTCATGTGCTTTCCTCCCACATACAGAGTCACGGTCCCTTGATGTGGAAGACAGGTTTGCCTTTGTAGATTTTAATATTCAAATGCGATAACCGACAGACAGTAATATTTGTGTACAGAGGTGTGTGTGTGTGTGTGTGTGTGTGTGAGAGAGAGGGTTGAGTCCACCATTAACATGACAATCAATTCCTTTAACTTTATGTCACTGTTAATCCAAGATAATATCAGTTTGTTCTCTCTTGTGCAAGTGATTCTTTAAAATATCGAAATATACACTTGCGGTCAAACATAAACAGCTAACATTTTTAAAAGAAGTCTCTTATGCTCACAAAGACTGCATTTATAGAAAACCATTAAGCTATGAAACTGTTTTCAACTTATAATACATGTTTCTTGAGCATCAAATCAGCATATTAGATTGATTTCTGAGGGATCATGTGACACTGAAGACTGGAGTAATGAAGCTGAAAATTCAGCTTTACCATCACAAGAATAAATTATATTTTAAATATATTCAAACAGACAACAGCTATTTGAAATTGTGAGAATATTCACACGATTACATTTTTACTGTAGTTTTGTTCAAATAAATGCAGCTGAGCATAAGAGGCTTAGTGAGCATAGAAACTTCTTTCAAAACGTTAAAAAAATCATTATTCCAAAGTTTTGACCACCAATATACATTCAGAATCGGGTAATAATGAAGTTATACAAAAAGATATATTAGGAAATATTAGGTAAATATGACATGTGTTTCATTCAAGTGAGGATTTTGAATGCAAGTGTGTGTGACAGTTGCAAAAAAAAAAGGGTGCGACCATAAGTTAAAGGGGAAGAGAATTGCAAGCACTTAACAGGACAGATGTGAATCTGCCCTCACCGATAAGAGGATACACACACGCACACACACACACACACACACACACACCATTATAGCTTATCGCACTTCTTGCTCTCAGTGACACAAACCCAGTGTAAGCACATCATTAAACTAAAACATTATTTTTTCTCTGACTTCAGATAGCAGAAGGCATGGCTTACATTGAGCAGAGAAACTACATTCACAGAGACCTTCGTGCTGCCAACATCCTGGTCAACAAGAGTTTAGTGTGTAAGATTGCTGATTTCGGATTGGCCCGTATCATAGAGGACAACGAATACACTGCCAGAGAAGGTTAGTGGGATATGCAGCCAACAATAATGTTGAGAAACCAAGTTAATTTAAGCTGGTAAACTGGATACATGCATGTTTCTTTATAGGTTACTGTCAGAGGAAGTCATGTTAATATTTTTTTTTGTGACCTAAGGTGCAAAGTTCCCCATAAAATGGACCGCTCCAGAGGCCATAAACTATGGTTCCTTCACCATTAAATCAGATGTTTGGTCCTTTGGCATTCTGCTCACTGAAATCATTAGCTATGGTCGCACACCGTATCCAGGTTAGTGTTCACCACAGTGCACTGTGAATAATGGTCATTGTCTGGAATCTGTGCCATTTGTACCTACTTGTTTTTGTATCTCTATGACTTCTAGGATTTGGAACTATTATTTAATTGATTTAACTTTGTTTTCAAAACTCAACAAGTTAAGCTAATTAAAAATGTGTATTTTTAAAATTCGATTTAAATCAACTGCCTTATCATTGTCACTGCATTATCAAACATTTAAATAAAAAAAATATCTGACTAATGTAAATGTATTTAATTTCTACTAAAACTCTGAAAAAGTACATTTCTTGGCGGTAAATTAAACTATAAGCTTTACTTAACTATATGTGTATAAAACTTAACTTTGTGAAAATCAGTAATGGGGTCATGAACTGAGAAACCAAAATTCCCTTGATCTTTTGACATAAGAGGTCATTGTACTATAAAAACATCCTGTAAGTTTCAGAACTCAAAACTTTCTCATAAGTCTAAAAACAGCTTATATTGAAGCCAGTCTGCTACTCTATGATGTAATAGTGTGGATAAGCACCGCCTCCGCAGAAGAAGATCAACGCCTGCTTCGACATCACTGCCTGCTTAGCCCCGCCCACCGATTCGTGCATGTAGTAGGTAAATGACAAAAGCGGCAAATGCAGGTCTACGCGGAAACCAAACAATAAACTTTATTTGATGAACTTTATTTTTAATGAAATTCTAGACCACGTCAGTAAGAACCTGGGGCCAGTTGCATAAACTTAGCCACCATGTTAAGACTGTGTCTTAAGAACTAGTTTGACCAACTAGTAGTTGGCAAGGGGTAATCAGTCTTACTTTTCCAATACAAATAAGACCAATCTACCTTTTCATAACTGAATTTAAAAATGTATTACCAGTCTTGAAGAAAAAAAATTAAATGACTAACTTTTTAAGGCTAGTCTAAACAACTAGTCTTTTGTTCACTTCATTTTGCCGCGGATTTGTTTACAAACAAGGCACAATTGGACGCAGGATTTTCAGAAAGATTGAAATTGAAAGACGATGCTATGCCGACTATATTTGATCCAACATTAATTTCGCACCATACAAGTGTGAGTAACTGTTTTCATTACGTGGGTGCTATTGCTTTGTCTGTTATTATCGTTTGATATGTACTGAGTATTTATGCGTTTTTAACCTAAATCACAGCAGCATCCATCTGTGAAGGATGTAGGCTGTCAAATATACACAAATGTTAGCCAATCACAGCAGTAGGCATTTACTTCTGAGTCTACAATCTGCCACACAGAGTGTTCTGATGAGGAAGGTGATTTTCTGATGAGAAAATAGCCTATTACTTCTAAATTATGATGTTTTTTGAAGCAAAATTCTTGAGAACATTGTAAGTGGACCTCAAAGAACAGTACAAAATAAAAAACAATGGCCCATCATGACCCATTTAAAAAATTTGACACATCAAATAAACCTACAAAAATATCTTAGAATTAACTAGCAATAACACATTCTAATAACTGTTTCAGTTCTTCTTGGTTGAGTTCACATAACTTAGTAATAACTGATTGAAACAAACTCACTTTATGCTACTGTTAAAAAGTTTGGGGTTGGTCAAATTTTGAAAGACGTCTCTTATGCTCACCAAGGCTTTATGTATTTGATCAAATATATTATAAACAGTAATATTGTGACATATCATTACAATTTAAAATAATTGTTTTTTAAATCATTTATTTTAATGTATTTGTATTCCTGTGATGGCAGCATCAGTGAGTTTTCAGCATCAGTGTCAATGTCACATGATCCTTCAGAAATCATTCTAATATGCTGATTTGCTGCTCAAGAAACATTTCTTATTAATATCAATGTTGAAAACAGTTGTGCCGCAACTTTTATGGAAACCATGATATGTTTTGTCAGTATTATTTAATGAATAGAAAATGAATATGAAATATAAATCTTAATTTAATGCATCCTTGTTGAATAAAAGTATTAATTTCTTTCCAAAAACAGTCTTACCAACCTCAAACTTTTATAACAGTAGCAGTAATATATTTAACGGTAGTTTTACAGTGCATTTTTTAAATCTTTGTTTTTCAATTGAATAGCAGCTAATCTGCATGTATCTATTCATCATCATTTATAAGAAAATCTCACTTCAACCCTGTTGTACTGTGACATTTCCTCTTTATAAAAAAAAAATAATAATAATAATAATAATTAGTTTTTCCTGTCATAATATTTGGAATAAATAATTATTTATAAAATAAAATTATGTTTCACCACCTGGTTCAGACAGAAGTAGGTTTCAGGCTCTATCATATCTGGTGCAGTAATACTAGCTAGCTATGGTTTCAACTACTTCAATTCTCAATTTCAACAGTAACCTTATATATTTTTATACAAAAACAATTTTGAAAAATCCTGAATTGTTAAGATCAAATTGCACAGTTTCCAGAGAATTACCCACAACTAATATATGGTATCAGCTGATGCTAGAAACTCTGTGTTTATGGTGTGTTTAGGTATGACAAATCCAGAGGTGATCCGTGCTCTGGAGAGAGGTTACCGAATGCAGCGTCTGGACTCCTGTCCTCAAGAGCTCTATGACATCATGCTGGAATGCTGGAAGAACAAGCCAGAGGACCGGCCCACCTTTGAGTACCTGCAGAGTATACTGGAGGACTTTTACACTGCCACAGAGAGCCAGTATCAGCAACAGCCTTGAGACACACACACACACACACACACACATACTTGTATTTGTGGTTTACGGGGACTCTCCATAGGCGTAATGGTTTTTATACTGTACAAACTGTATTTTCTATTGCCCTACACCAACCCTACACCTAAACCTACCCCTCACAGGAAACAATTTTTGAATTTCATAAAACACCGTTTTGTATGTTTTTTAAGCCTTTTGTTTTACGGGGACCTGTACACACACACACACACACACACACACTTTGACACAACCTTGATCTTGCATAAATCCCCTTTATCAGGATGAAATGTACACATATGTAACTTATCCATGCCAACCTGTTGACTTTATACATATGTAGTGAAATTAAATGTGAAAAGTTATAGTGTGTTAGTTATTTAATGATATGCAAATGAATACAATTTCAAAATCTCAGTAATAGCAGTTTTATTCCTATCATGCAGAGCCCTTTGCCTTACACTGAGTGTTGCACAACAGAAGCTATATAAAGTTAGAATTTTAATATAAAAAATGTGAGAAATAATATTCTTTTTTCGTGTTATAACTTGTCTGATTTATTTGTAAAAACCCAATGACAGTTGTATTTTAGAGCTAATCATATGTGTGTGTGTATGTAATTGAGAGTACACATAGAGCAATAAAATAAATTGTAGCTTTGATTGCTTAAGAAAAGATCATTTCTAAAACTTCAACCTACATTAGGTTTCAAAGAAGTTATTGTGGATTAGGAAATGTATATACATGTATTTGCTCAGAAAAAAAAAAATCCATTTTAAATCATTGCTCCAAACATTTCAGGAAAAAACGCATCTGTACCTAAGGTAGTTATGAATATTTCTCTTTGAGTCTCTGTGTATTGTTATTTTATGAAGTTGTAAGTTGATGCTTCTTTTTTCAGATTTTCAGGTTTGGTACTTTTACAAGCCTGAAGCGATTTCACATTTGATATGTGTCTTACTTGTACATCTTTTGTTTTGTTGATATTTGTTTGAAATTTTGTGCAATAATAGTAAACGATTTATGTGACAATCTTTTTTTCTGATTTCCTGCAGTCATACTGAGGGACCTTAGCTGTGGCTTCATTAAAAAAATGTAAAACATGATGCTGATTATGCAGCTGATTTTCAATACACTTTTCCATGATGTAAAGTATTTTCAAAAGAGTTATCTATAAATATTATGTAGTGTGTGTATGTATGTTGTTACAATTAGCCCATAAAACAAACACATTTATTTTAATGTTGAGTAGTGTGAAGGAACAAATCTCATTCACTATCATTCTCATAATATATATATATATATATTTTTTT